TTCATCCTTTGGGATAGATACAGAATTTGAGGTAAAGTGCTCTTCTATTTAAACTATAAAAATTATGGGGTCAGTTTGACTTCATCTTTTTCAAAACTAAATTTTTTTTAACGTCCTTCCAAAGCGGGCAACGGGATTTCAATTCCGATGACCGACAGCTTCTTACGGGCAAACTCCACACCAAAAATAGTGCCGACACCATCTTGGTATAAGGTTTCTGCAGGAACTAGGTTGGCACGTTTATGCTGTGAGATCTGTAATTGTTGATCAGGATTTATACGGCTCTCAAGTGTTTTTAGATGAGATTGCCTTTTTGGTAGTCTCCTTTGTATTTCATAAGCAACACGGGATCGCATACGATAATCACGTATTTGATCATCTAGATTTGATATAGGATTAGGGGGCAAAATTATTATTTAGAACTGGTGGGAGCGTAATGGTTTGAGTTGTAGATGAGGAGGTCAAACTACTGATTCTTACTACTGATTCTTTTTGGATTTTTCAGAAATAAAAATGGATTTGGGATCTTTGTAGACAAAGAGTTTGCCTTTTGGCTTAGACATCCTAGGAGTTCTAGGAATTTCTGAAAGAGAAAGGCCTTCAATTTGTTTTTGCAAGGTTTTGATAGATGAATCAACTGTTTGGTTATTATTACGAGTGTTTTGCAAGATCTTGACTTGATTTTCAAGACTAAGGAGTCTATCAGATACTTTCAGGACCAGTTGAATCATGGTGCTGTTTTGTTTGACTAAAGCACTAAGGGCAGAACTTGTATTTTGGCGTGCTTCAGTTGGGTTAACAAAACTTAAAGCAGGTGGTTTAAGGGAATTAGTTGCAGTAAATGCAGCTTTGTAATCAGATGATGCAGAGGATTGGACCCAATCGTTCATAAAAGCGGCAGATAAAACAAGTATAGAAAGTACCTCAGGTTTACCCTTTCAAAGTTTTATAACTTAGTTTTATATAATCAAAACTCTCTTTTCAGCTTCTTAATTGGTTTTAGCTCATGAAATCCGCCTGCCCTCAGCCTTATAACTCTTATTCATGAAATTATGATTTCTTATAGCAGATATCTAAATCAAATTATTAAAATAGGATCAGAAAAGAAACATAGTCAGGTTCCTGAATGTTGCCCTATTAATTTCTTTTCACCCCTGCAATTCCACAGTGCTCATTCCAGAGTCTCGTCGTGGCACTCAGGGTTACTGGCTGAATTAATAGGACACAGCGTCCTGATTAATATTCATTTGTAGATCTTAAATTAATAACCGACAGTGTCCGGCCTCAAAAACCATAAACCCAGAAATAAGTACGCATAAGCTGATAAGGACGTTAAAGAGTATTCATACCTCCTCAACTCAGGATGTCAAAATTACATGAACAAAAAACTAAGAAAGGACCTACTCAGATTATGTTGATTATATCAACTGCAATTAAGAAACTTTTACTCAATTTTCCTGAGGTATGAAGAAAAGATTTAGCCCAACATGGCTTTGATACCAGCATAGGATAGATAGAATAGAGAGAGGATCGCCATGGAGAAACCTTCTAAAAGAAAACTATTAAAGAAAATATATAATAGAGAGATGATTGGTATTGATTGGTATATATATTTGCAGAAACCTTTTAAAAGAAAACTATAAAAGAGAACTAAATTAAAAGAAAACTCGCAGCATAAACTCACTATTAAAAGAAAACTCACTAAACTGAAGAAAGGGTGTTGGCTAACTATATGTTTCATTTTAATATTAAAAGAAAACTCACTAAATTATATATATATAT